CTGTGTCAAGAAGTTGTGTTTGATTTAATGTTATTGGTTGAAAAGTGACTTAATCCCGCCTAATGTCAAGTAGGGCAACTGTGATTGGCCACCGAGGATGTCAGTCGGGGGTGTGAGAGAGGGGTTGAAAAAAGAAGTGCGTAGGTGATGTTGTCGGTATGATAACAGAAAATGCATCACTTTATTTTGTGATGAACATAGTCAGAACTGTATCGTTTAAGTGTTAACTAGCATATTATTCTATTGTGAAGTCAACACGACGCCACAAAGAAGTCAATGCGACGCGATTCAGAAGAAATGCGGGGTTTATGCTTGATAGCCATTACAGTAAATGGGACTAACGTGAATTGCTGGTGAGAAACTTAAATCAAGTTTATCATTTAAATCAGCGACTGTAAGAGAGCTAGAGGTCATCAGAGTGATTGCCACAGACTGTTGTTGCATTGACTGTGAAGTGCATTGAGGAAATCCAGATAGCGCTGCTAATCGCCGAGTGGTTCGGGGTTCCTCTGGCATCGCGGGAGTGTCACGGAGTTTGCCGACCGATCACCGCCTCACGTGAACTGATCTGACAGGTGACGGGATCCTTGAACTCTTTCAAGTTCATTCAGGTGCATTTTGTCTGTTTTATTTGTGCTCTTCGAGAGCGAAGCGGCCATTTTAGGTTTCACTTGGCCTCAACGCACACCAGCGACATTTCAGGCCTGCTAACGGGGTGTGTGTGTGTGTGTAAGTGAGTGAGTGTAGTGGGCCCACATTAAGCTGTTTTTCTATTTTTGAACCATATAGTGGTTTAATACTCTGACTCATTGAAAGTATGTCAGTAAAGGGTTACATTGGTATTTCTAACTAAATCTAAAGTTTGTTTACTTACTGTATTTATATTTTAAGTTTTCCAAAGAACACTGATATATTGGTTTACACTGATTGGTGACAGATTTGTACTTCCGAAGGGGAAAGAACTGAGGTTTAATTTGGAAGAGTGATTCAGTGAAAAAAATCTTATTTTGATATTTGTGTAAAAGTTTAACCCTTGAAGTGTGTTGTTGTCCAACAGGGGAAAAAGTCAAAGCAAGCACTGTATTTGAAGATAAAAGCTTATTTTTAAGTTGAGAGAACAGATTTTGATTCATCTTTGATTCCTTTTGTCTATTTTCTTTTAAATAAATTCATTTTATATTTTTGCTACATAGCGTGTCATTTTAAAAAGAACTGATAGGTAGCTATATTTTTTGGAAAGCAATTTACAGGGGTCAGCGTTGCACTTTGTAAGAAGTAGTATAAAAAAGCAGGGTCACATTTTGACTTTAAGTAAAATTACGTCGAGAGACACAATTAAACGAATCTGGGTTCTAGCGTCAACAATTCCAAAGTGTAGATACACCTAGGACTGAAGGGGGCGCTACACTAAAAATCATATTCAGCTTCTCTGTACAATAAAAAAACCTTTGATTTGATTGGCCATCTCAGTCATTTCCAGATTGATGAACGCTGTTATTAGACCGCTGAGGCAGACCAGGCCATTTCTAATTCTAATTCTAATTCATTTCCATGTCTCTTAGCCTGTTTGGACTGCTTATCTATCTGTGGAAATGTTTCTATCCCATTTGTGGATGTGCTTAGTGTGTGTATATATATATATATATAATTCTGCATTATTATTCTGTAGACTGTATTTTATCAGGCAACATATTTACACATTCATCAGTAAACCAGTAAATGTATCAATAAATATATTTTATTCAATAACATATATTACGACGACACATATGACTTTATATACATGTGCATTATGTTAAAAAATGTACATTAAACCCCAAAACAATCTTTTTTTTGACATTCATCCTCAGTATTCTTGTTTCTTACATTCTGAGGGAATACCTGTATTAGATACCCTTTTCAAGTAATCACAAATTTGAATTTAAAAGAGTTTGCATGGGCTCTAACATTAATTTCTCCTAGATCACATCAGACAGATCAGATTACTAGCTTTAAAAGAGGTCAGTTTGATGTGGTTCATATCTAGTGGTTGATCTGCAAATGTGAAGTGCACCTCAATGTTAAACACTGCACCTGTTCTCTCTTATTAACGGTCAATCTTCGCATGCTATGCATAAGACTGGCTTTTGTGCGCGAGTTGCCTATGGAAGAGTCGTCACAATATAGCTTTCTTATGTGTATTCTTAAAGGCAGGGTATGTGATTTTTCAAAAAAACTTTAGAAAACTGATTCGGGCCGAATCGCAAAACAAACTTGTAGCCAATCAGCAATAAGGGGCGTGTCTACTCGTGATGTGGAGGAGAGAGCTTTCAGTGCATGGGACGGACATTAGCCGAGCCGAGCGACAGAAAGATAGAGATGGCGGATAAAAAACAAAAGAGGAAAACGTCTGCGGAAAAGATAATATTGGTTTTGCTTTGTTTCACAGAACTAATCGTTGCCTGGGTTGCGTACGTATATGTGGGGCGGAGCTATCAAAATAGGGGCAAGACCCTTTTGGGGTAGGGGCGTGTTTGTTTTGGTGATTTCAAATATCAACATTGGCTACCAGAAATCACTTACTCTGCCTTTAAGGGTCAAGACTTTGAACTACGGCATTTAACCTGTTCGAAATGTTAAATTGGACTGTTGTTTTTGAACTTGACCTTAATGAATAATTCATAATGTCTAGTGTCAAATAGTGAGCTGAGAATTCAACGTTGTGGAAGAGATTTGGCCCAAAACATACCTTCTCCAAGTAAATGAACACAAATAATTCTAGCTACACAAGCACAAATTCATGTGTGGCTGTTTTGTGCTTTGAATTACAATCTTGACACTTTAGATTGCAAGTATGCATTTTTTTTCTCAGCATTGCTGCAATAAGCATTATAGCAGACTCTTTCAGATCAACTACTCTCATGGCAAATCAACAGTTTGAATAATCTTGAAACTAATGTGGCACAAGCACTGAAGGTAAAACTATTGCTCTCATAAACATTGATTATTAAGAGGAACAATAAAAGAGCTCATGTTAAGCATGCACTGGCCGAAGATTCACGTCAGTATTTGCACACTTGTGTTAAATATTTTTCTGGCCTTATCTTTCTCCAAAATTCTTGGCTAGGAAATCAGTTTCATTAAATGCTGAATCCCTTTTGGGACTTAAGACCTTCAAAATGTGAGTCTTTGTATTGCTTTAAACAGTTTAGACAAATCTCAAAGCCAAATCATGCTAACAAGTCACATTGTGACTGCAAATTTTGAAAAAGTGTGATTTTTCTTTTGAGATTGTTCTTTTGATGTAACATGCTTGAAAATGAATGACTCATCATCACTCATAATGTGTATATAGCAAATGTAACAACAGTAGCAAAAGCTAAAGCAGGTCAGCAGATACAGCAGAAGAAGGCCATGGTATATATTTGAGAAGAAAATGCACCGTCTTTGGAATAACTCGAAATACAAAAGATGTCATTTAAATGACAAAAATAATCAAAACCCTTTCTACAAATTTGACATACTTCAGGGCAATAATACTATTTATTGAAAGTAAAAAGAAACTAAATATTAGCTGGAATGATTAAGAATATGCCACAATCATTTTAAAACATTCTTTTCATTTTATCCAAAGTAATGTTACATAAATGGAACATGGAAAATGGAAAGGGGATATTTTTAGCAATTAAAAATTAGAATGAAATATTAGTATTCTTTACTGATTTTTAACAATTTAAAAAATGATTTAAACTCATGGCATGGGTCGCACATTATAAATATATTATTGCTGTGGGTATAAATGTACCACAAATGAAAGATGACAATTGTAGTCTCATTACGTCAACGTCATTCATTGAAAGTTTCATTTTTTTCATGTTCACATGCTTTTTTTTTTGTCACTGTGAACAATAAAATGCCACAGACATGGTAACAAAATACCAATGGGCATACACTCATTGATACAGACATAGTAACCTAAAATCTTTTTTTAAGCAGTCAGTACCACTGTACATCAGTACCACAATAGCATAAATTACAAAAGTTTTCACATTCACAATACGTCTGTTGCATACACTTGATTGAGTGTATTGTGGTTAAGACACACAGCCATGAAGTACATCATCTGTATTCCTCAAAATTATTTCCCCCCCCCCCCCACCAGAATCTAGTGATTATCTTAAAAAGCATTAGCTTAATAAAACATACCACACAAATACCATTTTGAGCAGTCTCTGTGTAGTGTCTATTTTACATCAGGTTTGGAAATATGCATATCTGTCTGCACTTATTCTTTTGAACACAGAAACTGGTGTTTCTTCGACACCTAATTCATAGAGGTATTTGCCTTCCACTTCAAGACACATTGGCAAACATTCCCAGTGTTAAATATACAGTGTTTGGACTTTTGAGAAATTCCCTTTGATACTGGACTTCACAGATGCCGTATTCCCACCTGAATATCGCAAAATTTAATAGAGTCAAATGATTGAGAGAAAATGACTCAGAATTAATCCCATTTGACTAATGTGATCCTACCTGTTGTTCATTATCATCAAACAAGCAGATATCAGTAATTACTAGACTATATCAAATTCCAGAGTGGGAACTTGTCACCATTGGTCTTAGTGTTCGTAATAACACAAGCGCAATGATAACACATGGGAATTTGGATCTAGCTGCCCAAAAAGCAGTTACTGGCACCACCGTAAGGGGCCGTTCACACAGAATGCGTCTTTACATCTAAAAACTTGGAAACATTTCGGAGGAGGCATTCTGCGCTGCACCATTTTCTGTCAAATTAAACAATTGCCATGCCAACTTACTGTCAACAAAAGCTTGCAACTCTTGCCCCGCCTCCAGGGTCGTCTGATTGGTCCAATGTTTTGGAACTGACACTGTGTGTAAAAGTTGAAATTCTTTTGACACCACATCTTAAGAATGTGGCGATAGTCGGCGCCAATAGCCTTGTGGGCAGCACGCCGACAGATAGCGCCATTGCGCTTCGGGCATCCCGAGTTCGAGTCCTGGCTCACAGACCTTTCCCAATCCCGTCCCCCTCTCTCTCCCACACTTTGCTTCCTGTCTAATAACTGTCCTACCATAATAACGCTAAAAATCATGTGCGAGACGCGTCATACACATCCGTCAACCGTGTTTACATAGAAAAACAATGGAAAATAGCGCTTTGGAATAGAAAAACGCGCTCTGTGTGAACGGCCCCTAAGAAGGCTGTTTAAGTCATTGAAACCAACGGAGAGTAAAAACCCTTTGAGCATCGACCCTTATGGTTGTTCCCTTTCAGTCAAATCCTTTTATACCTTCTCCTTGCATTGCCATTCTTGGGTCATGGCTGCTTGAAAATAAAAATACTTCTAACAATGACTGGCATGAGCCTCCACGACAAGAATTTCTTCTTGATAATAAGGCTGCCCACCAAGTCTTATAGAGCGAACGTGTCCGTCATGAAGACGTCTCCCCATTGGCAGTGTTGGTTTCTGTGATGGGCAAGTCAACGTCTGAAGGTGTACCTGAGTCAATAGGTGAGGAAACAGTCAAGTTCGTCATAAGTGGGTGGCTGGATTCTGTAACAGAGTCAGTGGTTGTGGCATGGGGTGCAGCTGAACCCACATTGGCAAGAAGAGTGGTACCATTACTTAACGTTGGCTCCAATACGGCTGGTGAAGGGGGGCCAGATTCTATGGAGTTAATCGCAGGTTGGGCGACTAAATGTAACAATGGAATGCCGGGATCTATGGGCGAAGAAAAGGATTGAGCTGGGATGGCATTAACTTGACCAGACTGGTCCGATATTGGTGGTAAAGACAGTTCTGTTGGGGAAGAGGGCAGAATTTCAGTGACTAGGTGAACGGGAGAGTCTATTGAGGAAGAGGGGGGGATGTTGTTTAAAGGCGGAGTGGGTGATTGTCCAGTGGATGTGCAGAGAGGAAAGGTTTGGGTGGGACCTGCAGAGCCCACTTCAGTTAGGATGTTGAAATCATTAGCAACAGTCAAGGGGAATTCAGCAGCTGGTGTACCTATATCTAAAAGCGAAGGAGTTTGGAGATCGGAAGAAGTAGGGGACTCCAGGGAAGGATCGGTGATCAAAGGAGTTTCCACAGTTGAAGAAGGCAGAACGGCTGGAGATTCTGGTTTAGGTGTCTGAATGTAATTGATAGCGATTGGGGTTGAAGTGTTTGGGATAGAGGCAAGGAGAGGATGCTCTACGGATGAGGCAGAGGTTCCCGGCATGGATGCAGATCTGGGATACTCTTGCTGGATTTCATCTGGCTCTTGGGTAGAAGTCAATGACTTCATACTGAATATCTCTGCCTGGCCGGGGGCATCAATGAGCATCTGAAGATCGATGGCGGATGAGGCTGTGGAGTCCATAGTGGAAATAGCAGTGGCAGCTGCTTCGTGGAGAGGCGTATCGCCTACCCTCGCGTACTCGCGGCTCTCGGACTTGGTCAGCAAAAGGCGTTGCTCGCCCGGTTTGCGAGGTGGCAGTAACGGTTGGCGGGTGTAGCTTTCACCGTCCGCTAATGTTTCTGGAAGCGGTCGATTGCGAGTCTCGGGCAGCAGCAAGATGCAAATGATGCAGATAAGAGTGCAGCAGGCGAAAATTATGTGATGCAGAAAATAGCCTTTCTGGTTATGCAGCTCCATGATGGGTGCCGTCAGCATGCCAAAACCAGCACTGGCCAGGACGAGGCCTAGACCGCCACCCCTAGACAGCACACAAAGAACAAGGAAAATATATTTTTCAAAACACAAGTGCCCCTATTATGGATTTTTAAAAAATTACTTTTCATGCAGTGTGTAACACAGCTCTAAATGAATGAAAACATCCTGCAAAGTTTTAAATCTAAAAGTGCACCGTGTATAAAGTTATTGTTTCTCAAAAGAAAGCGTTGACACTGAATCATTGAAATAAGTCGTTTTTAAAACGAATCCCAAGCCGTTTCATGTTGACGTCAACATGAAACATTAGCATATTGCCCACCCACTTGTTGCGCATGCAGACCTGGGAAAACTTGATTTTCGCGTTGGGCTGAATGAAAATGCAAATTCATTCGTTGCCACTAGGTGTCGCTTTTGGAGCTGTAAAATAGCTGTTTCCCCGGTAACGGCTGTAAACAAAGCAGCACCGCACTCACAAATGCTGCTTTTATCATGAAATGGAAATGAAATCGACCAATCGGACCAATCACCGCAGATTAACGTCACGCAAAAGAGGGTTTTGGAAAAATAAAAAAGTCGTTGAGCAAATAAGGTAAAAATAAATGCATATTATAAGACAATGAAAGTGTTTTTTTTGCATGCATGTCCACCTGTTGTTGGGGACTCCCAAAACCAAAATATTAACCTTTCATAATCCATAATAAAGGCACTTTAAATATCAAGGGGTTTTAGGCACATTTTATCATCTGGCATAACTGGAATAAAATATCCACAAAAAGCAACTATGAAAATAAGCGCTAGGCTCAGCCACACTAAGATTTACAAATCAGATGCAAATTACAATACAATACAAACAAGAAAGATCTTTGACCTTTTTGATTTTTTCCCATAATCTTAAAAGTCGTCCGTGTGGTTTAGCTCACCTAATCACAGTTGGGGTGATTTCAGCACAAAAAAAGATGCTTAGGTTGCTGACAGCGTGGGAGGAGAACATGCCAATGATGGAGAAAGCCATTGAAAAGTTGGAGTTCAGCGTACCAGAGTCGTCTGTGGGGAGTGAGAAAGACAACATGGTGAGTCATTTACTAATTTTTTCTCTCAAAAAGAAACATCACATAAGCAGCACAATATAAAAATGGTGTATAGCTCATAAAAAATGCTTTCACCAAATGTGCATGTAATGATATTTATTGAAATTATGCTGAAAGGGGGATCTCTTGAAAAATTATAATTTTTCAATGTTTTTTATTTAAAAAAATTTTTTGTGTCCATTGCAAAAGCCCACACGAATTGGCAAAAGCCCACACAAATTAAATTAAACTGTCAAATTAAGTACTTTGAAACCTGACAGAAAGGCTTGAAGGCCTTTTTTCCCAATTACTGCTCACTATCAAATTAAACTTTTTTTTTTTTCTTTCTTCTTCATTGCTTATTTTGTTTTGGGTTAATAATAACAACAACAGCAACAACAATAATAATAATTTAAATATTTTTATTAAATTATAAACATTAAAACAATAAATAAATATATTACTACATAGCAATAATGGTTGCACTTTATTTTACAGTATGTGTACTTACATGTACTTACAGTACCTAAGAAAGTACTGGTAATATAAGGTAACTACATGGGGTAGGGTTAGGTTTAGGGGTAGGTTCAGGGTTAGTACCTAGTTATTACCTAGTTATTGTAATTACTATAATAAGTACATAGTATGTACATGAGGAACGGGACTGTAAAATAAAGTGCTACCGCAATAATACTATTGTACTGTAAACTAAAGTATTTAGTAGTAACAATAATAACAATGCTAATGTCTTATTTTGTAGAGGTTCTATAGTTTATATAGAGATCTTATAGCTTTTCTTTTGTTGACAACAGATTTATAAACTATTCTCAAATTTGGGAAGCTGGTCCATGTCATACGTGATCAAAACTCACAGCAGTTGCACAAATTACAGAGTTTGTGAGACGCTAAGGCAAACTGATCCACTCCAAGGCACTGGAAGCAGCGGATTATGAGCTGCTCGTGTGTAAATGAACACAGTGCCGCGATTCGCTCTGAAACATACGGCCAGTTATCGCCGAACTCGTGAGTATCACCTTTTCATAAACTCACAAACACAGATTTTTATTCACACGCATGCGGAGAGGACCCTGGCCGAGACGCTAAGGGTGTTCTGCACACAGTCACTAGATGGCACCGCTAGCTTGTGCAATGCTGTTGGACGCTATACTATCCATGCATGAAATAAATTGTTACAAATATATATGAAAATGCATTATTTTCCCCCTCATTGGTTTTACACAATTAATGTGGGTAATACATCTCAAATTGGAAAATATAGAAATACAATGGAAAAATCACATCTCTGAATACTGTAGATCCCTGTCTGTGTAAAGACAAGAGAACATAACAAAAGAATCCTCTTAAAATTAAACATTAAGACCAAAGGATCATAGGCATCTTTTGCCAACCAAAAAAAAAAAAAAAATTTGCTTACAGAAGATATGTACAACACAGAAAAAGCATCTTCAATCCGCTATTCTTCATAACTTAGTCCATACATGTAATGAAAAATAAATTAGTGCTTACAGGCTAGACTGTAATTTATATAAAAAATGCAATTATATCAGAAGTGCCTAAAAGTATTTAAGAGTAGGAATAAAGTGTTTCATGGGCAAATAATTGATATTAATTTAAGTGGATGTGGCGTCCTTGCGTGCAAATAGCTTCTGCCTTTATTGTTTGTCACTTCATTGCACTTGAAATTGGGGTTAGTACTAATTGTGCAGTATTTTGTGAACTGTGAACGAATAACTACTTAGTACTGATTTATTTGTTTTTTTGTGAATAAATACAAAAATATTATTTGAAAAACTGCTGATTGCTGTTAATAAAAGCTTCAGTACATCTGGTCCAAAGTGTCAAATTTTTTTTTTCAGTTTAGTGTGTAAATTCTGAATTATTATAGTGTTTTGTTACTTATTATACACATTTGTTTTTTTGTGAATAAATACAAAAATATTATTTGAAAAACTGCTGATTGCTGTTAATAAAAGCTTCAGTACATCTGGTCCAAAGTGTCACATTTTTTTTTCAGTTTAGTGTGTAAATTCTGAATTATTATAGTGTTTTGTTACTTATTATACATGGCAATAAAGAGAAAACTGCATAAATAGCATAGTGTTTATACTTTACCAATATTCAGGTGAACACTGTACTTCCCCACCACTTCATTCATCGTGGACGCATCACATAGAGGGAAAAAATCAAACAACAAATGAGAAACTAAAGTAGTTTGCAGCTCAAGGCTAGTAATGAAATATATGCATGTGTGCTAATAAATACGAATATAAAACTCAGTATGCTTCAAATGATCAGGGATGAAATCCAATTAAGCCCTTTCATTAATATGCTCTTCTGTCATTTATAAACCATAAGTCTGGTGGTGCACATCAGGTTTAACAGCATTTTAGTACTGGAGAGCAATTTTACGGGAAGCAATTCTGGAGCAGGACAGCAGTAAACCTGGTAAAGTCAGATTTTTTGTGTCCAAAATCACATACTGTCAGAGTACAGTAGGTACTATAGTTGATGAAGAACTTAGTAAGCGTTAAAAAGGTTTGTTCTATATAAAGAATGCATGTGTGTAGTATGAACTCACTACAGACATACTACATCCCCATGCTGTCACGTGACCATCAGTTGCGTCACTGCCGTGTCCTCTCGGGATGTGCACAGCATGCAAATCAATGATCAGCTTTTGAGCTTGTGATACATTCACAATGTTAACATGCACACCAGGCAGACAGTAATAGAGAGTGAGCTGCTTAACCCTATAGATCCCACTGTATCATATTTGATCCACACATTTCTAAAGCCTCTAAAATACCAACATTATCAAAACTCTGCTGGAAAACCTGTTGTACACAATCTGCTTCATGCCTCATGCCGGCTTCTCCGGCAGAAACTCAGATGTGTTAAAGCGCTTTAAAGACTTAAACGGTGCGACAGTGATTGTGTTTGGTTGGGTTTAAGCCCTCACCGAGGGTCGTCCTGTGTGTTTGTGATTTGTGTGTTCTCTCACAGTTTAGCAGGCCGAGCTGAAGGAGAGAGGCCAGGGCTGTGATGATCATAAACATGAGGAGTCCCCCGCGCCGCCCCATCACGCCCACGGCAGGGCAGAGCGCCACGCATGATGCCACAGCAGTGCCCCCCATGGTGTAGTATTTGGCATAGAAATTAGAGAAGATGGAGGTCGGCTGGTCTTCCGTCAGGCTGCGTGCAAAGCAGTGGTGTATCCCGTAACCTGTCAGTCTGAAAGACAAACAGAGGTTTTTGGATGCCAGAGTTAAAGGGACAGTTCACCCTAAAATGAAAATTCTGCCATCATTCACTCACCCTCGTGCCTTTCCAAACCCAAAAAACGTTGTCTTTGAAACACAAATAAAGATTTAACCCCTTATAATGCATTCCAGATCTTTTTGCATTCTGAGTCCATTTGGATCTGAACAACAAGTCATAATTCCATATTGTATCTCATTAGCAACGTCTCATTAATGAGTGAATGTGAAAAAATTTACAGTTTTGAATTTCAAATTACACATGAGCCACACACAAAAAAAGCATTTTACAGAGATACTTATAGATAGTTTTACAGAAAGTATTTCTGACACGTAATGTTACACCCAGGCATCCAAAATTACCCGATTTTTTTTTTATGTGTATTTTGAGGATCTGAGTATATGTAAGTTTCCTTCCCTCACTAAAGGCTATGCAATTTTTTTTTTTGTAGTTTTACAGAAAGTATTTCTGACACGTAATGTTACACCCAGGCATCCAAAATTACCCGAACACATTTTTTTTAATGTGTATTTTGAGGATCTGAGTATATGTAAAGTTTCCTTCCCTCACTAAAGGCTATGCAAATTTTTTTTTTTAAACATTTTTTGTAAGTGTCTCTTCCAGGTCAAAACAGACCCGAATGCATTATGAGGGTTAATGAGACCTGAGAGGTTTCTGTCCCTCCACTGAAAGTCCATGTAACCAAAACTTACAAGATCCTAAAGGGTCATTAAAGCTGTTTATCAAATAAAGCGAATCTCTTCACAAGACTTTAATTAAATAGCTCCGTTCATAAGGAATCATTCATTTCATGACGCCTTTATGACCTTTTTGGATTTTCTAAGTTTTGGTTTTGGAAATGAGGGTGAGGAAATGGCAGAATTGACATTTTTTTGGGTGAACTACCCCTTTAAATTCAGCAGAATGTTTTTCATTATTAAGCATCCTATGCATAATATAAAGATATTTACGAGTTGACGCAGAGCACTACTATATTCTTCCACAGGTTCCTTGTGCCAACCATCTTCACAATGCATGTCTTCTTGGCTTGCTTTGGCAGGGCTTGGTTTAGCTCTGAAATCAATGCAGAAAACAAACAGCTTAATCAAACCCCCTGAGGAGATACCCCCTGACAATGTAAAGCGCTTTGAGTGCCTAAAAGCGCTATATAAATGTAATGAATTAAACATTTCAGAAAAAAAATAGGTTTATGGGATAACAAAAGGGATGACATTGCCTTCAATCATTTTGACAAGAAGTCTGTTTTCTTCACATTCATATTCCACATTCTTGAGTTTTGTAATTTAATTGCAGCTGTTCATAATACATCATATCATGAGCAATGTCCATTTTAGAGATAGGTGGCGGTAATGCACTTATAAGTCTGCGATCCGCCGTAAAGCAAGAAGAAGAAGAAGACGCGTCACGCGCCGGCTGAAGAAGACGCGAACACGCTCAGGACAGTTCGGACATTGCGGTAAATCAGAGGTAAAAACCGATATAAATACTGTTCAGTTTCTTGCACAGACCGATCGTTTCGTGTCTTTACACATCAATGTATTGTCACGAGCTGCAGGGTTTAATTTGGTTTTGTTTGTGTATGTTTTTTGACTCTCAAAGCCGTGATTCCCATCCACTTACATTATATGACTGACAGACTGCAACGGTTTGAGTTAAAAATCTTCTTTTGTGTTCTACTGAAGAAACAAAGTCACCTACATCTTGGATGCCCTGGGGGTAAGCAGATAAACATCACATTTTCATTTTTGGGTGAACTATCCCTTTAAATTAGACATGAAAAGGTAGTTTACTATGACTGACTTTACTACGATATTGTGACGAACAAGATAAATCCGTTTCATTCATTGCTGCTTATAGGACTGAGAAAAGTAAGCACTGCATACTGTAATGAATACAGTGATAAATGAAATTGGCTTAGCTGTAGCACAGTCTCGCAAATGTCAGCAGATTGAAGTTACGTTACAGGAATTACATTTTGATCAAAGATAATGAGGTCATATGCATGGATTTAAATGCATAAAAACAAGCCCATTAACATGCATTAAGAAAACAAATAGGGTAAATTTTGATTTAATGCGGACTTCAGCTCCAATTGGTTGTCAACGAATTAAGTCACAAACTTTATTAATGCAACAATTAATGCAATTAATGGTTGCAGCTTTCACATGCTGGATGACAAAAATCAAGGTGTAGTTACTAGGTTTTGCCTTTGCAGGGCACTTTTCTCCTGAAATGTTTACACTGCCAGCAGTAAGAGCCACGAACACAACTAACTGTTGACTTTAGATCGTGCACGCCTCCGTCTGACGGTGACTCAGGTCTTGTAAATGCAGGATACGGGATTAGCTAAACCGGTTTTGTATTCCACAGAATAAAGTCATATCAGTGTTGAACAACATGAGGAAGAATATAAATAATGGTGAATCACTTGGACATTTAAATGCATTATGAAAAACAGGGAACAGGCCTACATTTTAACAGTTGTGCAACCGGCGCATTTCACTGAGAATTAGGGCTGTCAAAAAAATTCGAATTTCATTTTAATTCGACGAATATTTGAAATTCGAATTTTTTTTTGACAGCCCTAATTCTCACAGAATTTTAGGTCTGTGTCAGCTGTCAGGCAGCCTTATCAGTGGCGCACGAGATGCATGACGATGTATGTGTCATTGATTGCATTTGAATGCTTTTGTTAGCCTATCCAGTTGAACCCACTAGAAAAAACATGTCTAAAGACGTTATGGCGGTTTTTCCCCATCCCACTGTATCTCAAGTTTTTAAATAAAGAAAGTAGCCTACTATTTGTGATTGGTTTTCAGTCCTTTGTATTAAACTATACATGCATGCATGGTGCTGTTTTTTTTTTTCTAATTGTTTAAGCAACTTTATTAATTATATATGGTTTATAAACATTATTTTAAACATTATGCACTTTTTTTCAAAGATAGTCGTGTTATTTTATTACGCTTTGAAAAAACGTGCATAATATTTTGCTCGATTCGCCCTCTTGTGGCCTCGGGAGAGAAGCCAACTGAAATTATGCCTTTTAAATTCGAATATAATTCGAATTTTGATCATATTTAAGTAGAAAATTCGAATTTCGTTTTTCAGTCATTTTGACAGCCCTACTGAGAATTTTGAATCGCAGGCAATTTTGCTCTTATTATATACTGATTTTAAAAATGAAGTTTACACTAATTTGTGCGGATTAACCACACGGGCAATTGAGCAACTTATTTTTCTCCGGTAAGAGAAGCTTGAATGAAGTTATGTGTAGAAATCGCTGTTTACTGCATCAAGACCATCTATTCACTGTCCCATTTTGGGAAAATAAGACATAGAATAGTCTGTCAAGCTTTCTTTGAAAGCCTTAAAACATTTCGGAATTATTTAGTAAATTAAAACATGAGCTGAATGACGCCGCACTTTGTTGCCCATAGAATCTGAAGCGCCAACAGTTTGTATTTTGAGGATGTCAAAAACTAGTTTGCATTGCAGTATCTAAATCTAGAAAGTATTCTACACAGATTGATTTTTTAATGCGAGGTTGGTTGTGATTGTTTTCTCTGACTGGTAAATTATGTTTTTAGTCATTTTGCCATTGTTCAGATTTTGTTCAGATATTTTGCAGCATGCATCTTTCAAATGTATATCTGATCTAAAACATATGGTTATTATATTAAAGCTGTAAGCTGTTGGGATCACTAGTTCTAAACCTAATTAACTTATAAAGCTTATAAAAGTCCAGTGTTTGTTTTCTCTTTGCTTGTATACCTGTCATGAGCTCCTCTGCGTCCTCCTCTAGGTTGATGTTGTTCTTCTTGGCGACGCGCTCCATGATCCATTTGGAGCGATTGTACTGCTGCGTCGCAAGCAGCCAGCGCAGAGACTCCGGAAAAATCCTGATGAATGAAAGCAGATATACTTTACTATATTATGATAACATCATATCAAACTACAGAGACTAATCTAATCTGTTCTGGGCTAAACACTTAGCAGAAAAACAGCATTATCACTGAAAGTTAGCTGCTAAATAAAGAACTAAAACAATGAAACAAAGCAACTTACACAATTATTTATTTGTTTATTCACTTTTTAGGCTATTTCCATGGCGATCTCTGAATAAATTATACAAGGTGTACAATTAACAAAAGGTTATAAAAGACATTTCAGATGTACACTAGACAAAAATTCTAAAAGGAATTCAGGTGATACATTTTTAAATAAATCAGTCAGACACACCTATATGACCTGGAACCCAGCAGAAGAAAATACTGATGTTTCTCTTGCGTAAACAGTCTGCTTTGGCTAAAATCTTTATACTTGCACGATTAGAATAAAGTTTAAAGAATAAAGTGAACATTTATTGATTTGCAGTAGTTTTTCACGTCTCATATGGAGACAAAATCCTTCTACTATCACAATATCTTAATTTAGTTTGTTAAAACATTTATGTAAATTAAAATATGTTAAACAAGAAAACTGTTATGTACAAATGTTACATTTAGTATACTGTACATTTAAATCATGCACACTGACATTGTTCATTTATTTTTAACACCATGTCAAAAGCAAGGCTATCTTCGCAGCACAAACAAAGTGAAACAAGTTGCACAATTAACAAAGATTATTACAAGACAAAAATTCTAATAAAGCAATAAGCCCCAAGAAGCCGTGATTTACAGTGAATTTATAACAGCTAAGGGGCGTTGTTAGGCACAACGCGAAGCCCTTAGCTGTTATAAATTCACTGTAAACCACGGCTTCACGGGGCTTATTGCTTTTATAAAACGGTTATTCCATATACGTAGTAAGGTTTCACAAAATAAAACTGAGCAAATAAAGTGTAATGATATTAATAAAAACAGTATTCTTCCACCAAACAATATAGTTCCTCAGAAACAGTTGTGGTTGCAACAAAGTGGTTGCCAAGCAACACACAGAAGTAAACAAAGGTGTATGTTTGTAGAGCAATTTACAACAGCTTCGAACGCGGCTCAACCAATCAGAATCAAGGACCGGAACAATCCGTTTTATAAAATACATTAAAGGGGATACTAAAAATATAAAAATAAATAAATATATATACACTGTAGTTTGACAGGAAAGGCATGATGGTGGTTCTTCTTCGCCGTTCCATAAATAACCATATGTAAGAATGACCTAAACGCCACCTGGTAAAAACAACTTGATCATGTTTCGATGTGAAAGTACTAAAAAAACTTCTTCTTATACTACGATTATTTCATATAGCATATTGTCACAGCATTGCTCTTATTCCATCTACTACTTGTTAGTAATATAAAAGTTAATTTGCATACTGACATGAGATGATATGCTGTATAAAGCTGTTTTATTTTACACAAAGCACGTCACCAGTTGAATTACTTGCATTATTATGGTAACCTGATTTTGGACTATCTTGCTCACAGAATATATTAATCATGCTTGATAGTAAATAGTGCATTTTTACAATGGCCTGAGTACCAAAAACGTTTGCTTTTGAGTGAAATAATGCAAGTAAATGTATGATTATTATTGTTTGAAGTATTCTATTTTTGTACATTTACATTTTTTTTGTTTTAGCTGATGCAAAGCCCATTTTCCAAACCATGTGTTATATAATCCTTCTGATGTATTAAAGTGGTTCTGCATTATCTGTGCAGTTGGAAATGATTCTGCCGCTTAATAAAGTGCGCAAACAGTAGTGCAATGTCTTTTTTTCGGCAGCTGAAGTCTTGAGTGCACTTGCAATTTCAGAGTCACTGTAAACTCGCTGTCACCGTCAACAAGTCAAATTTTGATTTTAAGAACAGCCAAACACAAACATATTTTTGAATAGCCATGGCACAGTTGCTTACCAGATATAGGACAGCATGAGTAAGAGAGGGCAGATTACGACTGCTTGCAGAACCTGCCAATCACGACAGAGGACTACCAGTCCCGGCATGAGCAACTGCCCCGCTAATGCCACGAAGTTTGCCACCATGGTCATGGAGAAACGGCATCCCGGCAGACACAGCTCTATCCCTGCAGACAAGAAAACACATACAACATTAGAGTCAGTTGATACCAGGGCTCTCAATAACTGCAACAATTAGAGTGATTTTTCTAAAGAGAAGGGGTGTTGGGAATTTAAACAGAGCTTTTGTCAAATCTAAAAATGTAACAGTGATATAATAAAAGATGCCAATGTATTAAATGCTATTGTTATCATTATTATTATCAACCATCACCATAATTCTTCTCCAAATAGTATAGTACATTGCTTAAAACCACCGGCTTATTGCGGCTGCAAAGCAATGCAGCAACTTGCCATGTTATTAGATCTAAATTGTGTGTGTGTATATTTTATGACTTAAAGGGATAGTTCACCCAAAAATAAAAAAACTGTCATCATTTACTTGTTCCAAACCTGTATGAGTTTCTTCTTTTGAAGACAGTTGATGCTAGCCATTGACTTTCATAGTATGGGTAAAAATAAAAAACAATGGTACCAATGGTGAGGAATGGAAAGTCAATGGTCACCAACATTCTTCAAAATATCTTCTTTTGTGTTCAACAGAACAAAGAAAGGTTTGGAACAAGTAAATGATGACAGAATTGTCATTTTTAGGTGAACTATCCCTTCAAGGCACATTGCAAATTTCATATTTCACCATAACATGACATTATTCAAGCTTTTAAAGAAAGTTTGAGCCATATTAGGTATGTTTCCTTCAAAGTTGCAAATTTAACTTGTGCAACATTGCGTAAAACATTTGCGAATAAAACACTGTTTCCATCCCATGTGTTCAAGAGAACAAAACTGTCACTTCATTGGAAACTGGTGCAAAGTATTAACAATAAAAATGAAAGTTGCCGCTAATACCTATATACTTTCCTACACTGTAAAAAAAAAATTCCATAAAATTTATGGTAAAAAAACGGCAGCTGTGGTTGCCGGAATTTTACTGTAAAAAATACGGTAGCAACATTTTAGGTTTTACTAACCATACTAATTAAACATTCATTTAACAACATTAGGTGTAACACACAACCCTAATATACAAAACTGATAAGAAAAAAATAAGAAGAAACATAGTTATTTCAACAAAAAACATCAAATCTGAAATTTAACGCAGGGAATTCTGGGAATGTCAATTTACGGTTATTCACTGTAAATTATACTGTCTTTTCCACTTCCAAAAATGGTATACTACCGTAAAATTACATGTAATGTCCAACACAGTTTTTCACCGTATATAGTAGGGGAACTTACCATTAACCATTTAACAGGTTTTTACTGTAGCATTTTTACAGTCTTTTACCGTTTAATTCACGGTCATTTTTTACAGTGTACATAAGAAATCATCCAATCACATGATCTGTTGAGGCAAAGTCAAATTTTTTGTTGCACATCAAGGAAATTATTATTTAAATGTGTTTCCATTGTAGTTTCTGCATTTCCATTCAGCGCTTTTATGCAGTATCCTAAAACACATGGATGGAAACAAAACCATATTGATTTACAGTCTTTTTCTGTAAAAGACCCAAAACTGCTCATCATGTTCTACAGACACAGTTTCAGAGATTTACTTAAGGGACCTTAAACAACTATGTAATGCATGCATGTCATCTGTCTGCAATTAATTCAGTGACTCATTAGTATTCATAACGCAGAAGCACGGGTGGTTCAATGACAGACCAGCACTGCAATATCAAATGATGGCAAAACCACAGAACAGACAGCAGGCTCTGACATGGGTTTGAGCTTTCCAAGGTGACAGGACTCAGAAAAACACTCCGGCGTGAACACAGTGACTGCACAATCCTTCAGAAAAGCCCAGAATATCAATGAGCAGCACTTCCCACAGGAACTGAATCATGCTCTGTGCTCAAAGACGGAGCTCAGTCGTGAAGCTGACAGGGAAAGCACTCTGTTTCTCAGCTAAAAGAGCAGGGGCTGCATTACTAACACATCCCAACTCAGAACCCTATCTTAAGTTTCCAACAACTCTAAAACCTATCTTTAAAAAAAAAAAAAAAAAAAAAATTTTTCATCAATTCTTTCAAGTTTGAAATCACATAACAAAAGATATGTTTTGTGATATAACAACAGTGTAACTATTAATTATTTTAGAAATATGAGCTGTTGCATTGAATGTCACAAAAAAGTATTTTAGATGAACTTGCTTCAAATATCTGAAATCTGAACAATTTAACAGATTTAAAAGTGAACAAGTAGTGTATTTACATCAAATGACTTGTCCACAGCAGTGTTGCTTTAGTATAATTATTACAATAATTATTATTTTGAACTGTTTTTGTTTTTATTTTTTCATTTTAATTCCATTTTTTTATTTTTATGTTTTTTGTCACTTTTAGTAGTTTTTTTTAAGGTTTTTTTTTTCATTTTTTAAACCAATTTCCGCTTTTAGTTATTTTAGTACATCAAGTATCCATAATATTCCCAACAAGCAACTATTATCAATAACAAGCCCGAGAACAGTAACATTGCTTTCCAAAGTTCAAATTCAAGTGGAAGGAATTAAAATATGACATCCCGAAAACGGCGTCTTCAAACATTTAAAGGGCATGTCAATATTTTGTTGTCATTTTGATAATAATATGTGTTCATCAATCTGCTTTCCTGGGTTACACACTACAGACAACTGAAAGATATGAATGTACGGAGCCCTGTTAGGGTCATGCAGGTGAAAACAAAGACAGCATACGATGCTGTAAACAAACAGCCTTTATACTGTAAGGAAGTAAAGTGTGTGTGTAAAGTGCATCCTGAAGCCTATTTATAGCGCTCAAGCTCTGATTTCTAAGTGAACAGAATGTGATTTCAAGCAAAATACAAGAGCTGTTCTTTTTGAATATTTTGTCTAATGTTAGTGTTTTGCAAATAGTTTGTTTTGCTTTTGCAGAGCGAGTAAAGCAGATAATGCGCTTGTGGTTCGGCAGATTTGGTAAGAGGATTTGGTAGATGAGTTAATGGTTTCATTGAGTGAGCCTCAACTACCACTTTCAGTGAAAAAACTGAAAACACACACACACACACACACACAGACACACACACACACACACACAAAAACCTGTAATTGTCATAATTTTTATTCCCAGTGAAGGACTTCAATAACATTTTGTGAAAATAAAATAAAGGTTTATGGCTTAATCGCTAAATGACACACACACACACAGACACACACACACACACACACACACATACACAAAAGACAAAATATGAAATAAATTAATAATTGCTTGTAAACACAATTATAGCCACACAGCATGTTTATGTGGCAGAATAAATGGCAGGTTTGTGCATCAATGAGCAGTTTATCATCATGTCAATTTATAAACATGTTAAAGTGTGTCCACAAATTGTGTTTTATTGAGAGTGAAGGAAGCTTACTGATGAAACATCACTCTTGGAAATGTGTAAATGTGTAAATAGCAATGAGTAAATGTGTACACCATGGGTGCTTTTCACTGGCGGGGGACAAGTAATACTTCTCAAGTTGTTTTCGATAAAAGTGTCTGCTAAATTAATAAATGATTAACCAATAAAGCACCAGAAATAACAATCAGTAACCAATGCAACCATATGAGATATGAAATCACTGAATCAGTGGTCGGAGACGAATAAACTGACAGGAAGAACCACAAATTTGTGTGTGTGCAAAATCATTTTTAAATATACAGTTATTATAAATTGTAATAATATTTCACAGCATTACTGTTTTATAGTATTTTTGATCAAATAAGTCTTGGTGAGCAGAACTTCACTAAAAACATATAAAAATCACAACATCTCAACTTAAACTGTACCTCCTAAATGAACCACTTTTCTCTTGCTTTTAAAAAACCTTCACATCTATCCTCCCTTAAAATGCTGCCTATGAAGGCTGCTTACTAGGTTTTGGAACAAAGCCAGAGAGAGAGAGAGAGCGAGAACCTTGAGCTTCTTAACCCATCTGATCCAGATCCCTCGTGCACGTTCCCACAGCTCAGCAGCTCCACACACACTCTTAACTAGTTAAATGAGGACATACGATACATTTCATTTGTTTTAATGAAACTAATGGCTACAAATAACCCTAATCCAAACCATGATGATATATCAAGTGTTGTCTGTGTTTGAACTTGACGGAGTCTGTGGCTGACAATCCTAATGACGACCAGCAGAGGGCGCCGTGAGGGATCAGGCTTGTTTGTCTGTTTGAGCCTGAGGCTGACACTATGACCTTCCCCTGTCACATGAGGCACTCATGGCTTCCTGCCAGTATGCCACATATTCAAATGCATTCCATGCCAGGACCACTGGCTTTCTGTGTCATGGAATGGCATGAGGGTTACAGATTGTTGTTTTTTTTCATCAGTGTCAAACAGCAGAGAATGGCACTAGTAATGCTGTGGCCACGAGCCTGATTCCCAGGGAATGCATGGACTGATAAGTGAAGCTGTTGGCATCGCAGATTTATAATGTTTTAACAGTGCATCTGTGTCTGAAGAGAGAAAAGGAAGAGAGTAATAGAAAAACCACAGGGCCTGCTAGATGTGGTGGTCGGGGTCAAAGGTCACAGATAAACAGCTGTTGATGCAGCTCTGAAGAACACAGTCTCAGCATAACCACTTAACTTTACTCCAGTCAGCATGCAAAACACTTCTCTGATTACAAAAGAGCTAAAGATTTCAGAGCTAAAGAACAAACAAGAAAGCAAGCAAGCAAGAAAGAAAGAGAGTATAAATAAATTCTGGTCTGGTTCGCAAACGAATCATTCTTTCGAACCGGTTCTTTCTGGTGAACTAGTTGAATCGTTTCATTGAATCAGTTTGCAGCTTGAGAAGCACAGATCTACAAGTTACTCAATCAAAACTCACAGCCTGACAGTCACTTCGACTCGAAATGAGCCAAATGAATGAAACAGAGTGAAACAGTTCGACTCGGACCGAAGAGCCGCTGATATGCGCAAACACTTGAACGAAGGGGTGAAATTAAAGATTTTATGGTTTCTCACTGTTTATGTAAAAAGGTGAGC